TGATGGCAATGCGCAGCGAGAGCCGCGAATTCTTTACACAGTGGTCTCATTACATCATTGTCTGCCGCGGATGTGCAGATGTGCCTTCGCACATCTGGAGTGGCATGCGCCGGCCACATCCACTGCGGCCGATTAGTAAGCAGGCTATCCGGGGGCAACAAGGGGAGGTCTCATTGATCGCGGTGGGGGCAAGCGTGCGCAGGCAGACGGTGCGCGCAGGCAGACGGTGTGGATCAATCGAAGCTATGAAGGGGGTGCCCTGCTGCACGGGGTGCATTCGCGGATGGTGAGGGGACTGAAGCACGCGGGAGGATTACAGGCCAGCTGGTGACGCGGCGCTGCTAGTTGGGGACGCGTTATGGAACTGGCTGTGGTTCCATCCAGAGACAAGCAAGTAAGGCACACGTAGAATAAGGCACAGCATTACAGCACCTCACTCACTTGAACAATAAAGTCACCGCCGTCCCCAGCTCCCCAGAGGATCGGGGGTATCGGTGTTCCTAGAACCACACTGGCGCAGGGGAGGGAGAGTGCCTTGTCCAGTACCCTTGGGTACCCTATATGTAGCTATGATGAGGCTCGGGAGGGTGGAGCAGGAATGCTATGAGGGCTGTTGCGTTTTGGTTCAAGCGGAGAAACGGCGGCGGCGGCGAGAGAGCCGAGGGGTGTGGTGTAAGGACGTCCGAAATCTGAGCCCGTTTCCGAGATCGCCGGAGGAACTGCTCTTCCGCGACGGCGTGAGTGCAGAGTTTCTACGCGTATGCGCTACAGTACAGTATTCGCGGAGGGGTGGTCTCTGGCCAGCAATGACCCTGATTCAGACGAGATGCGGGTGTCCTTCTCGAAGGCTGCTCAAGAAACGGAGAAATGCAAGTATTACAGTGCTTGTATTCCGCACAACGATCTAAATTGTTTGGGGAAACCAGGGCGATATTTACAAAATCCTATCTTTCCAATCTACCGTTAAGAAACATCGCTGGCGCGCCCTTGTTGGCTGTAACCCACCGACCTCCCCTACTTGCCACGCAGCTGCAACTGAAAACTCACCTACACAACACTGACACGTGTCATCGGTCTCGTCCCGTTCATGGTTTCTACGCTTTCCACTTCATCTCCTTCTTTGCCCTACCTCTTAAACTTGACTTATAGGTCGATCTATTTGCACCTCGCTCCGCCTCCACACAGCACACAACCCCAGGTAGTACCCAAATGCTCATCGAAACGGAACGCCTTCCGTGTTGTCCTCAGTTTCTTCTACCTGCATCTTGATCTCCACGCTGTACGCATCCGGGTTACAGCCCTGCGATGGCACATCTATAATCTTCTACGACGTTTGTGAGATGGCCAAAAACATCCTAACACATGCATTAGGTGATGAACGATCCACGTCAACGTAATTTAACCCCCCCTCCTCCTCCGCCTCCTGCATCTATCATGTACACCCCCTCCATTGACCTCCAACAGTCCAGTAGTCCAAGTCCATTCTTATATCCCGTCCCATCTCATCCCTTTAACTTTCTTCCCTCCGACTACTGCTACATACCCCGCACCTCCGTCATAACATTTTTCGTCTCTGCGCAGCGTATGGAAGTTGACAGCCTCAGCAGCAACGGTTCGTCCGACGCAGAGCACGAAACTTCTACTCATCCGCCTCTCCCCCCTTACATCCCTCTCTCCACCGCTTCCTCCTTCCCGTCTGCCTCTCCTTCAGCCTCCCCATCCACATCAGAAGGTGTGTCGCTCCTACCAACCACGGGTCTCCCCAGCTCTGTGCGCGGGGCTCCTGAGGAACTCAAGGCCGCCATCCGCAAGAACCAGAACAAGGAATCTGCCCGCCGCTCTCGCAGGCGCAAGAACGAGCTCTTCATCTCAATCTCCAGGTCTCTAGAAATCCTCCTGCAGCGCACGCATGATGTCGAGGCTCGCTTGCTTGCGGTCGAAACTTTCGCGGCCACCATTGGCTTCAACCGGTTTGGACGCGTCCCAGCAGGCGAGATCTCATTGCCGGATATGGGATTGGCGGAGGCTAGGGATCAGGCGGCGGGTGAGGAGAGAAGAAATGAAACAGAGAGCGAGCTCGACGCAGTGCAGAACCTTATCGATCGATGCATCGGGCAGCCTTGAATATCTATGTTTTTTATAACATCACAAGGTTGATGGATTATCACTGAAGAGAGACCGCTTCGCTGGCGTTTGGAATTGTTCTTTGTTGTACAGGACGAGCGGTGGTGATGTTTGTTGGTTCCTGGGTAAATATACCAGGTGCAACGAGAGAAGTGCCATCTTTGTGCGAGTGCATTGGGCAGGAATGTGTTTGTTCAGGGATGAGAGGGATGAATGTGTGCAAGCAACTTGGCTGGGATCAAAAGTACTGAAGGGATCAAAAGTACTGAAGGGATCAAAAGTACTGAAGGGATCAAAAGTACTGAACTGTACGCTACGTACTGTACCCTTGGTACCATTGGTACTGTACACTTCAGTAACCTGAAGGGTACCGCTGCTGTGCTGTCGCATGAGCTCTGAATTGGACAAAGAGAGGGATATAATTTGCCACTGTACAGTATCCTACGTATTCGTGGCCGGCCACGGCAGTACAGTATTGATATTTTCTTCAACGCGAGTTGGCGCGTGCTCAAAGTTCTATTTATTTCGAAAAAAAAAAGCGTCCAATTCTTAAGCTCCGCGCCAAATAAAATTTCCTTGATTTGCCAAAACTAGGCCCAACTTATATCCAAGGCAACGAAAGCTGCGCGCTGGCGCCTCACATCCCTAGAGCCCTTCCCCCAACGGAATATGGACATGCTCTTGTGACCCCCTTGGCTTGCTCTCGCCCCAACCGCACCCCTCGCTTACTCCCTCATCTTGCGGCAACGCGGGGGTCTCTCCGTTGCGTTTCCCCCGCTCCTTCCGTCTCCTTCCCCCCGACTGCTATGACCGATTCCGCCGCCGCCCGCGCTCCGGAAGTCGACCCTTTCGCCAGCCTTGACGCCGCCCCGAATATTGACTGGGGCGACGTCGATTCAGACCATGATGATGACGAAGCCAGGGCTCTTATTGCGAAAGTTGGCGCAGATGCTCCCCGCGATTCTGACCATGACGTAGGCGAGATTCAGCCAGCCCGAAATGCGCGCGCCTCTTTGAATGGTTACGAAAAACATCCAGCTTCTTCTTCCACAAAACACGAGAAGAAAGAAATGGAAGATAACAAGAAGGAAGCAGAACGAAAATGGCATGATAATAAGAAGCGGAAAAAGAATGATCATGGGGCGGGCGGTTGGGATTCCCTTTTTCCGTCGCAAAACGACTGGCAAGGCGGTGGCAAGAAGTGGCAAAAGCAGAAGAAGCAAGTAAAGGATAAAACTCAACATCATTGCCCGATCTGTGATGTGTATACTACAGGGGAGAAAGCGCGAGACTCTCATCTTCGCGGGAAACAACACATGACTAAGAAACGACAAGCAGAACTAAAAGCTAAAAATGAAGAACTAAATCGACACGGCGCCAGCATTGCGGAAAAGCAGGCAAGACGACAGGAGTACACGGAAAACAACGGTGAGAGCAGGTTGCCGAATCGCAGCGTTGATAGCAGAACGGGGCCTGTTGTGGCAGGTAGTCGCAGTGACGCTGATCGACGTGCAGGAGAGAACGAAACGACTGTGCGGGGCGCTGCTAGGAGGGATTTCGAACCTCCCGCACCAGGGCCCGCTTTCTACGGCCGCTCGACTGATCCCCGACCGCGTTATTTCGACACTGCAGTTGTACCAGACCCACAGCCGACCCGGCGTGACGCTATGAACAAGTCTGTACCTCTGAAGGATCCATATGACAACGCGGGCAGCGCCGCTCCGCGAAAATCAGCTTCACAGAAGGATACGGAGAGAGCTGGTATCGCAAGCTCAGCACCATCTACTGAGAAAGCTGCCACTACTGATGCACGAACTGTTGATCATCTCCCTGAACCCACAAAGTCTGTTTCCCGAACGCTAGCGCCTCCTTCCAGTAGGCAGATCACGCCTGACGCGACGCCTGCTGGGCTCAAGGATACTGCAGCGTCCAATTCGGGTCAAGGTCGTCCTGCAATGAAAGGATTGCCAAGTGCGGCATATGCCGGTAGCAAGGGCGTGAATCCGTTTGTTCTTGCAGGGCCGAGAAAGCGGTCCCCGAAGCCTAACGCAGATGGGAACTCTCCGCCAAGACCGCCAAGAGTGCGGGAAGAAATGTCAGCCACACCTGTTTCAGAAGGTTTCTCACCACCCGAGAAGACTGGTAAGGTCTCAAATGCGAGGAATGCATCTACTACTGGGAAAGAAGACGGCAGTCATGGGCAGGATAAGACAGGCATCAGTTCTGGTGGCCCTGCGAAGGATACGGTGAGGGAGAAGGTAGGCGTTGTTATGAGTGGACGTCGACATACTAAGTCCGATGAGGACGGGAGCAGGCATGAGATGAAACCAGAAGCGAAACGCGCTGTGGATTCTTCCAAACCAGGCAGCTCTCACTCACGAGAACCAAAACCAAGGGTCGAGGGAGAAATGACAGATTTCCCTACCCGTAAAGATATGCACGAGAGGAGAAAGTACGACGACAAGGAGGCTGCTTCTCGTCGAGTCAGCAGATTTGAACGTACTGGTAGGGCTAGCATAACAGATGAGAAGACAGTGAAGCAATCGGTCCCTAAACCGGGGAGCCACGGCGAGTCTAGGACTGCCCCTTCGAAACCAAAAGCGGCCTCTACAAGAGAACATCGAGGTGCGCATGAGAATGACAGACCAACTAGTGTTGAGAAACGACGAATTTCACCGCCGAGTGACAGTTCGGGATTCAGTAGCGAGGGGAAAATGAGCGGACGGGAACGACTTCGTGAACGAGAAGAAGGGTCAGGAGGGTCTCGTTCTTATGATCGTAAGGACACACGAGATAGGAATGGTACCGATTTTCATCCTCAGGATGATTCAAGAGGCAGCAAGAGAACGCCTCCGCACGACCGGGACGACTGGGAAATGAGACGCCCTGGAAAAGAAGACCCTTACGAGAAGAGAAAGTCTCTCAACCTCGATCGCGATGCTCCCCGAGAAAGGAGAAGATCTCCCACGTACGAGCGAAGTGAACCTCGTGAAAGCCGAAGGTCTCCAACTTACGAGCGAGATGATCTTCGTGGCAGCCGAACGTCTCCGCCGTACCAGCGAGACAGTCCTCGCGACGGCCGAAGGTCTCCCACGTACGAGCGAGACAGTCCTCGTGAAGGCCGAAGATCGCCAACTTCTGGCAGAGATAGTTCTCGTGAGAGCAGAAGATCTCCTTATGAGCGTGAGGACTCTCGTGACGTCATACGGTCTCCATCTTACGGCACCGATGATCCTCGTGAATTTAGAAGAGAGTCCTCATATGATCGTGATGAACGCCGCCGCGATGATTCTCGTGCGCAGAGAAGCGCCCCTTCGTATGAGCGAGATGATCATCGGGTGAGCAGAAATTCGAAGCCCTATGACAGGTCGAGTTCTCGGAAACAACGAAAGTCTGGCGCTTACGATCGGGATGGGAGTCGTTCGCTTCCCGATAGCGAAAAGAGCGCGCCTGGGGACCGGGAACGCTCACGGCTCGATCCTAGGAAGGATCCATACGGGGAAGACCCTAGAGACAGAAGGGGCTCCTCCCCGCTTGAGCCTGAGAAGGGGAGAGAGAAAAATCAAGACCGACCAGGAATCAATGACAATGGAATAAGTGCGCCGGAGAGAACAGGTACTAAGAACGGTCCACAGTCTTCAAGAGAGAGGTCTATGATCGACGTGGATCGCAGAGTACCTGATTCATCAAACGTGCAGCATGAGATGGGCGGCCGAAGTCCTGCTCCGTCACTGAAGTTCAGGTCACAGGCTGTGCCTGCAAGACAAGAAGAAGCAAGCTATCGAGACGGCAAGAAACGCCGTTTTGATTCAGTGAATGACAACTCACGGGAGGCTGGCTGGACCGCATCTAATGGTACAAGGACACAGGACCCGCGTTCCAGCGAGGGCTCGATCCGGTATGAGTCTAGTACGGGCAGCTCTCAACGAAGACGGCTTCTGGACAGGAGAGATTTAGAATTCAAAGGCCAAGAAAGTCGCAAGGAGCGCTCTGGTGAAGAATATCGTCGCATAGATGCGGGACCCTCCAGCCGCATTGACGGGGATGGGCGCACACCTGACGCCGTTGCTGCCCGCGGCAGCCCCCGGACATTCAATCCTGAGGAGCATCCGATTGTTTCTCGAGGCTATCTGAACACGCCGATGCCAGTTACGGAATGGCGAGAACTCAGACACTCCGTGTTGAGCGGCACATCAGATGTTGACAAATTAGCTTACAAGATGATGCAAGAGCTCGTTCTATCGCCAGTGCTCGGAATCAATGAAACCTTGTTGGCACCGCTTTCTAAAGCAATGATGAGTGCTGTGAACAAGCACTACGTTACGCCCCATGGAATTTTTGCCAAGCTCAGTGATTTTCCGACGGGTTTATTGAGAATGGATCCCAAGTACAACTCAGAACTCAAGGCAGACGCGGATTGGTCTCAATATCAGACCCCAGAATACCTCGCGCTCTGCCAGTTTCGTGACAACTTGGAGTATACATTTGACAATCATCGACATCAGACTAAGCCTACAAGTAATTTACGAAGTGATGCTCCACCTCGCGGAAGCTTTGGTGCCAGGAATCAACGAAAGGGACCCGGGGTGCCCTTGGACGGGATGTCTTCTCCTCGTTATCAAGATGCTGTGGCTACTGACCCGCTTTACACAAAACTCATCCACCACTACACCACTTGCGACATGCAAAGCCGCTCTGCGAATATGTGAATGCGTCCAAGGGGCTCTCATGGTCGTTGCACAACTACAAGGAGCTCTCTGAAGGGTTAGAATTGGCAAGAACTGGGTGAGCTGCGTACGGCACTTCTGACGGTCTCTTCTTGTCATTGGTTTGATATATGTGTAACCGACAAGACGATTTGACCCAAACGTGCTCACTTCGTGCTGAATACGGTCCCTGCCGCAAATTCAACCCGTTTCTTCTTCCCCACGTTCTTCAATCTCGTGCTTGAATCCAACGAAAGAGCTCTGGGGAATCCCGGACTGTTGGAACAAACGTCTTTGTCTGAGACACTTTCAAATTTGTGCGAGTTACTGCGTCTTTCCGATCGCCATTGTTCATACAGAAGCTGAGTATGGTTCTTCGGCATTACCACTGGGTTGCTTTGGTCTGAGCAGTTGCTATTCTCCGCTGTAGGTGGCACAGGGTCGACCTCTCTCATTGTTGCCGCAGCTGCCGCGGCTGCTACTTTTGCGCGTGCCATCTCTGCAGCCGCCTGAGGTTTGAGCTTGCCCTTGCCATCTTTCACCAATGTCCAAATTGCACTACTTTCGTGTGGGGCTTTCGAGCTCCCTTTTCTGAGCTTTCCAAGATTGGATCTGAGTTCTCTGAGTACCGCGGCTGCGGCTGCCTCTTCTTGAGCTGCCCAAACCACGGGGTCTGGATTGAAGCTGTATCTTCTGGGTGGTGGAGAAGACGAAGGGCGTGGATTGGCACGAGATCGTCCGGCGCTTGCTGCTGCCGCTCGGGCCATGGCCACAGCTGCCTCTTCTGCGTCAAGGCGCTCTTGGGACTCGCGGGCGGCTCGCCATTCAGAAACAAAGTGATCCATTGTTTGCTTTGACAAGGAATCGTCCCAGGTGAAACCTTGAATGTCGGGTGGCTCGAATTCAGGTTGGCCGCCCATCGCGCAGAAGGAAGGTCTGATATCGGAACTTACAGAGGGAGTACCGGCGGGATGTTCTGTCGCATCGGAATGGCTGTCGGGGAATATTGACCCTGGCTTAGTACCCTCGACATCACCGTCACCATAAGCATGAGCGAGCGCGGCGCGGAAAGCGGATATGACGGCGCAGCGGTTGGGCCCTTCAGCGTCCGAAACGGCCTCTGCGGTCATGTACAGCTCTCCGTCGGGATTGCGAGATAAGTAGCGAGCGTGTTCCGGAGGCAAGCCGGGAAGCGAAGGCTTCCCGGTGGATGACGGAGTGGTGATGGGAATCTCTGCGCACAGTCGAGAGAAGCGCTCCGCGAGTGACTCGCTGGAGTTGTCTTCCTCGTTCTCGTGCGCTTTGTTCCCATCGTCTCGCTGATCATGATTGCCTTCGGATACGTCGTGCGCTGCAGCGGTTATTGGGTCGGGTGTTGCTTCCTCCGACTCCATGATCCATTATTCTCGTGGGGAGAGCCGTGCAGAGTCCGGGGGGGTTGGAGCGTTGAGGCCAATTGAGTTACAGGTGAGGTGGATGCCTGTCACACGTGCGTCCTGAACCTTACAGCACATTTCTGCACATTTCTGTTCCGAAACTTACACCTATACCTATACTGTGTACAGCACTGTATCCAGACGGCACACGTTCAACGTGCTGTTCGCGTTCCACACAATACACGTGTACTGATGGAACGATGTACAGAACACGTCGGGTAAGACGTCGGTTCAGTATGCGTATCATACGGTCAGTAGCGCGGACGTGTACGACTGTAAGCAAAGGCAAGCGATGTGGGGGGCCGGAGGCATGTTATTTTTCTGTAATGTTGTGTGCCGAATGGATACTGTTGCGGCTTGTGAGTGGCTCGTCAGTGGAATATGTGACGGATATTTGCGAGATATACTGTAAGTAAAGGCAACTTTTGTCGAATCGTGGTATGCCAAGTGTGTTAATGGGTGTTAATGGGTAGCGTATCCTCTTTTGAAATAAAATTGCCAAACTGGGCGGTCGGCGCCACGCGCGCACACTCGTGCAGTAGGCTTGCAGAGTCGATTTGGACAGCTTCCAGCGGGGCCTCTTCTCGTTCCTACTTCTATCTCCGCATCCAAATACGCCCGCGAGCAGAGACACCTCCTTTGCCCTTGCCAGGGCATCCACGTCACGAGAAGCCCCTCCCCCCCGCCCACCCCTCCATCCTCCCCCTCTTCCTCTTCCTTACCGACTCCCGCACCCTCAACACACGCCGTCATGGCGCGCTTACTCTACCGCATCCTCCGCGTAGTGAATTTCGTTGGTTCAGTAGAAGAGTCGCAGCTGCGCGGCGCGATGCGCAGTTCCGCCGTCATGTCTCGCCTGCAGTCCATGATAGCCGCCGACCTTGACAAGCCACTATCTTACGCCCTCCCCCTCACTGGAAACGCCATGGCGCCTCTCCTCAACGCCGACGTCCCTGACATGAACGCCGTCGCCGACCGTCTCATCATTCGCCGCCTTTCAGGTAACACCCAGTCCTTCCTCAATTGCGTCTACGTTAATGATGTTGTCGTCATCCGCGACCCTAACGACGCGAGGAGGAAGTACGTCAGAAGGATTGCCGGTTTAGAAGGCGCCCACATGGCTAGCGATAATGACGATGACCCGTCGTTCCGCGTCCCCCCGCGCCACTGCTGGGTCGCACGCGACAATCAGGATGCGACTGCCGCGCCAGACTCAACATTATTTGGTCCCCTGTCGCTGGATTATATCATTGGCCGTGTCATGTACGCCATACGCAGCGCGACCGACCACGGTCGCGTCCCCAACTCGTCGTATGCCATGGCTAGTGATTCCATCGTCTTGGCGCAGGAGCCAATTACTATGCATCTGCACCCCCCTCCAGAAGAAAAGTCTTCCGCACAGGGAAAGGGAGGCCCCGTCCAACCTCCAGAATGACTCCTCATCAATTGTACATTGTTTCTTCGACAGAATCCACGTCGCCTAGTTCACTAGTCTTATATCTTAACTGTACTATAACCTGCGCGATTCCCTCCCAACACGAGGTGAAAAGAAATCCTGAAATCGGAACGGAAGAGCTGCTTCTAGAGCTTGAAAAACTTTTGGTAACTAGCATCTGTCGTATTGAAAGCTCCCTCTTCCGCCTCCTCCTGTGTTTGTCGTCTCGATGACGGGGAGGACCATGTATCACAGCGTTGATGTCCGTTGTCGCGCTCGCTTTGTTCGTCTTCCTGGTCGGCGCTTGAAAACGACTCCCAAGCTGTTTTCTTCCCCTTTTCCCTCATCCTTAGTTGACTTTGAGACGCTTTCTTCTACTGTTTCTACGGTTGGTTGTTCTTGATTCGGCAAGTCACCGTTGTCTTCGTCATTATTCTCCTGAGAAGGCGCATTTGCCTCGCCCCAGTATAAATGTACCGAGTCTGCGCCCTGTTCGTTGATTTCAACCTCGGCTGATTGCCACTGTCCGTACATGGCCGACGCTGGCAATGGAAAGCCGTTTTCGTCCAATGCCTCGTCCTGCAATTGCCCATTCTCTTGCGAGCGCGCATCCGTCTTTATATCGCTAGAAGCACCATGCGAATCGTCTCTAGGGCGCTTTCGCGACTTTTCCGATGCAGCTCGTCGGGAACTAGCGCTTGCTACTTTCTCCAGCAGTTGCTGAGTGACTGTCGCCGCATTGGTACCGCCAGTCGCTGGCGCTGTCTTACCGGCAGCAAGTGCGGCATCACGTTTTTGCTCCTTTGCCTTTCTCTCGTTCTTGTCAGCAATACTTTTCAGGAGTGCCGCTCGGGCTTGCTTGTGCTTCGAGGCCTCTTCGTGCTGCAATCTCTGAATCTTATTGTCTGCTATCCAGATGTTGCATATTTTGCACAACTTTCGATTCGCGTATGGTTTCTTTGGCATGTTGCTGTCGCCGCCGGGATGGTACCAGATCTTGATTGCAAGAGTGTCCGCAAAGAACGGGGGCGTCTTGCTAGTGGTACACGTCAAGCTGGTGGTGCTGCGGGGATATATAATTCTCCACAAGAGACTTCGAGAGAGAACAATATATGCTAGGAGCAGGGCAGTTACGACCTTTGCTCTTCATTTGCCATATCTACCGCTTAGAATTCGTGCCCCCAGCTCCAACAATAGAAGTCCTGCTTAAAATCAGACCAATGGGGTGGCCTGTTAGCATTTTTGATCCGCAAATATTTCCGACCATTTCTTACCAAATGGCCATGCACCGCCACACCGCCATACCGAAGTCATTCGCCCCTCGTTATTATTGCTGGAAGAGTTTGCTTGACGAGCATTGCTTCACCTTGCATCCCAGAGGGCATCTTAAATTGAGTGTCGATGGGCGATTGTACATGAAGAAGCTGAGGGAGTGGTTCTGAAGAACGGCTAGAGTTGGCCGGATTGGATTCCCTTTTGCTCTGGTGACTGGGCCCAAACGTAACATTCAGAATGGCCGATCGAGAGATAATGAAGCAGTACAGCTACAAGGCAACATCCAATCTTGTTTTGGAGCAAGAAAGGAGTCGACGAAGGTCAACTGCAGACACAGGCGAAGTGGCACCCTTGAGGACAGATGAACTTGAAGGCCAAATGGGTGACAAGGCTGCTCGTCGACCTGGAGAAACATCGGCGGACCTCGCGGCGCGGCGAGAAAAGAAGAGAAAGAATGTCGCCCAGAAGGCAGAACTTAGCAGAGGTGATGCTGTTGCTGATATTGCACAAATAGGCCGTATCGATGAATCTCGCGGCGACTTGCAGACATTGGCTGGGGACGCAAACGTAGTCGACATCGCGGAAGAGCTCGAGCTGGACGCGGAAGGAGGGCGATATGTACCAACGACGCAGGTTTCGAAGACAGCATTTGAAGCACTTCTAGCGTTCATCATGTCGAAGCTCGGCGATCAACCAAGGGATTTGTTGCGGGGCGCAGCGGAGGAAACCCTCGTTGTTCTAAAAGATCAGCAATATCAGGAGAGTGAAAGGAAGAAGATTGTAGAGGATATGTTGGCTGCAAAAATGTCAGTCGATGAGTTTTCAAGGCTGTCTATGTTTGGCAGGCAGATTGAGGATTTCCAAACTGAAGCAGAAAGAGCAGAACTGAATACAGAGCTTGAAGATAGCATGGGCGAAGATCAAGCTGTGGCTGTCGTATTCGATGACGACGATGTTCAAGGGGGAAGCATCTCTGCGGGCGAGGGCATGGAGGAAGAGCTGGACATGAGGGATCTGATAGATGTTGATGAACGGAATCACCTATCGACAGTTTCGCATCCGGGAAATTTTGAGAAAGATGACGACGACGCGCTCATGCATCCTAATGCCTCTGATGAGGGTATGCTTGTCAAGGAGCAGAAATTAGTTCCTTTGGAAGTAGACGGGTACTGGTTACAAAGAACTCTCAGCCAATTCTTCAGCGATGCTGACGAGTGTCATCGTGTAGCAGAAGAAGTTTTAAAAGTTCTATCTGGTAAGGAAGACGACCGTTACTGTGAGAACCAACTTGTGATACTGCTCGGTTTCGACAAGTTTGACTTCGTTTCGCTTGTCATGGCCAATCGTTTCCTAGTCGTTTTTTGCACCCAATTGGCACGTGCAAAGGGCCCTGAAGAGCGAAGCAGAGTAGAGGAGGAAATGAAATCTGACGAAAGGGGACTCCAATTGCTGGAGCTCCTTCGTCTGGAAGACCCCACCTTGTTGAAAGGCAGGGAAGGTGTCAACGACAGCGATGGACCTCAATTTCGAAAGTTCGATCGAGAAAGCGATTTAAGTGCATCGAAACAATCAGGTAACTCCGGAAAGAGTGCCACTCCGAAGGCAAAAAAGAGGAAGAGACCGGCACTCCGAAATCTCGACTTGGAAAGCCTGGCCTTTAAAAAGGGCGGTCACTTGATGACTGTTCGGGATTGCAAACTACCAGAGGGGTCCGAGCACATCGAGAACAAAGACTATGACGAATGGCATATTCCAGCAGTGAAGGCCATTGCTTCTGGAAAAGATAAGACGATTTCGATTCAATCCCTTCCTAATTGGTGCCAACCGGTTTTTCCCGGAACCAGACATCTCAACAGAATGCAGTCATCTGTGTTTCCGTGTGCATTCGGGTCAGATGAGAACATGCTGTTATGTGCTCCGACGGGAGCCGGCAAGACAAATGTGGCAGTTTTGACTATTCTTCGAGCGATTCAAAATTCTGGTCCTCCGCAGAATGGCTTTTCAGATATTGGAGAAGCAGACTTGGCGGCTTTCAAAGTGGTTTACGTGGCCCCGATGAAGGCTCTTGTGGCAGAGGTTGTGGAGAATTTAGGAAGGAGGTTGAAAGTCCTTGGGCTCTCAGTACGCGAATTGACAGGGGATGTTAACCTTTCAAAGCAAGAAATTGAGGACACGCAGGTGATTGTTACTACTCCGGAGAAGTGGGACATAGTTACTCGAAAGAGCAGGGAGCGGGCATACACAAGCCTAGTGCGGTTGTTGATAATTGATGAAATCCATCTCTTGCATGACGAGAGAGGTCCAGTCTTGGAGACTATAGTTGCGAGGACATTGCGTAACGTTCAATCCTGGACGACGCACACGCGAATTATTGGTCTGAGCGCAACACTGCCGAACTACCAAGACGTCGCTACGTTTTTGCATGTGGCTCCAGACACTGGGCTTTTCTTCTATGATTCGACACATCGCCCATGTCCTTTGCAGCAATGCTTTGTCGGGGTCACCACCAAAAAAGCCATGAAGCGCTTTCAACTAATGAATGATCTCACATATGATAAGGTAAAAGAGCAGATTCGAGGCGCAAATCAAGTGATCGTATTTGTCTATAGCCGGAAGGAGACTTCTAATACATGCCATAACCTGATCAGTAAGGCCATCGACGAGGAAATTACTGATCAATTCTTAAAACCGGGCAGCGCTTCATTCGAAATCATTCAAGATTCTCTACCTGACGTTAACGGGAAGGATTTGAGAGAATTGTTGGAGCATGGATTTGCCACACATCACGCGGGCATGAGCAGGAAGGATAGGCAACTAGTTGAGGCTTTGTTTGAAAACGGCCATGTGAAGGTATTGGTATCAACAGCCACGTTGGCGTGGGGTGTTAATCTTCCCGCCCATGCCGTGATCATCAAGGGGACGCAAGTATACTCCCCAGAGCATGGGCGGTGGATTGAGCTTTCATCTATGGATGTTATGCAAATGATAGGTCGTGCTGGGCGACCGCAATTTGATACTTATGGTGAAGGAATCATTATCACTACCAAAGCAGACGTGCTGTTTTACCTTTCGTTGCTAAACCAGCAACTTCCGATTGAATCTCAGTTTGTGGCACGCCTAGTGGATATGTTGAATGCAGAGGTAGCCATGGGTACAGTGTCATCTCTTGAAGAAGGAGCTCAGTGGTTGTCGTACACGTACTTGTATGTACGAATGCTGAAGAATCCCACACTTTACGGCATCCATGTTGACGAACTGCAGCGAGACCCAAAACTGGAACGTCGGCGCCTCGAACTAGTACACGCTGCAGCAATTGCACTTGAACGTTCAGGCTTGGTCAAGTACAGCAAGAAACATGGTTCTATAGTTGGTACTGATTTGGGACGTGTTGCAGCCGATTTTTACGTTGGCCACGAGACCATTTCAATGTATGTGGAGCACATGCGGCCCACATCCACGGACATAGATCTATTCCGTCTTTTGGCTCTTTCAGGAGAATTTCGTCACATCAGAGTTCGGGAAGAAGAAAAACTGGAACTCGGTAGGTTGTCCGACAGAGTTCCGATTCCCATCAAGGAGGCACTTGAGGATTCCGCAGCCAAAGTCAATGTTTTATTGCAATCATATATCTCAAACTTATCTCTTGATGGGTTGGCTTTGAAGGCAGACATGATTTATGTGACGCAATCTGCTGCGCGCCTAGCTCGAGCGTTGCTTCAAGTTGCGATTCGCATCAAGTGTGCTCCTCTTATGGAAAAGTGCCTTCGTCTGTGCAAGGCCGTCACATGCCGGCAGTGGAATTCACAAAGCCCGCTTCGGCAATTCCGTGGTATTTTGGCTGATGATGTCCTGCACAAAATTGAGAGGAAGGATATTAGTTTTGACCGATACTACGATCTCGAAGATGCGGAACTGGGCGAGCTGTTGCGAAGTCCCAAGCTAGGTCGGACTGTGCACAGACTTGTACACTCTCTGCCTCGGCTTGAGATTGATGCAAAGGTTAGGCCAATTTCGCGATCCACTCTGGAGATTGAAGTTAAGTTGACGCCAGATTTTAAATTTGATCGGAACCTACATCGCGCCGGCGAAGCGTTTTGGATTGTCGTTGAAGATTCGGACTCCGAAGTGCTACTGCACTCAGAACCGTTTTATCTTCGAGGTTCGCTTGCGTCCGAAGAGCATGTACTAAGTTTCTTTGTGAAACTGACCTCGCCACAACCTCCCCAGTACTTCTTGAAATGTTTCAGTGATAGGTGGATTGTCCCGGAAACTGTGCTACCTGTATTATTCCATCGGCTTCTGTTGCCTGAGAAGTTTGCTGCCCATACGAAAGTGCTAGACATGCGCCCGCGAGCCGTACGCCGTTCTTTTGGAGTAGATTTGATGACGGCAGGCGACGAAAGTGTGCTGGATATGGAGGCATATCGAGAAGGTCTTGAAGAGTTACGAGCGTACTTTTCGAAGAAGACAGATCATTTTTCCGCTTTGCAGACTCAAATGTTTCCATCTCTGTTTGAGTCGGATGAAAATGTTGTAATCGCGAGTATTCCTGGTCCGGAGAGGTTCGAATGTGCTGAACTGTGTCTTGGAAGGTTGTTCACAAGGCTCCCAGACTCGCTCGCGGTCTGGATCGTTGGAAAAGGAGTTGCAGGGGTGGGTCTTGTCTGCAAGACGCTTACTCAAGGTCTGGGGAAACAGCTTAATCTTACAGTTGGTACGTTTCTATCCGGTGGTGTAGAAGAACTCAGAATGCTTCGAACGGCTGGGGCTGTCATTGTGACAACAGTCGAACGTTGGGACATGTTTTCGCGATGGCGAAGACAGAAACGTGAAAGAAAGGTATTTGACCGAATTGGTCTGGTTCTACTCGACGGGGTCCAGTTGATGTCAGATCAAGAAGAGAATGGCGCAGCCCTCGAAATCGTGGGCTCTCGCATGCGATACTTAGGCGCTGAGAGAGGCGAGAATGCCTTTCGGATTGTTGCCCTGAGCGACCCGATTGCAAATGCGAAGGAAGTCGGACACTGGCTAGGTTGTCCGCCCACCGCTGTCTTCTCTTTTCACCCAGAGGCTGTGGACAAGGGACTGCGGGTGGAGTTTATGACAGCACCCCTTCAAAGTGCGGGCAATAAGAATTCCGCCGCAGCCACATTTATCCGCCCGGTCTTCGCGGCAATTCGAAAGCATTCCTGGGAAAAGACGGGTTCCATCCTCGTCTTTGCACCGTCCAAAAAGATGGTACGAGGGTTAGCCCTTGAGCTGGTCAGTGCAGCAGCCCAGAGTGGGTCCCCAAACGCCTTCCTGTCGGATTCTGGAGACATGATGGATGCGAACACAGCAAGTCTAAGCCCTGGCACTCTGAAGGATTCGATGGCGTTTGGAGTTGGCTTTATCTACAATGGAATAGGCGACACCGAAAAGGAATGCATCGAAACGCTCTTCCGACTTGGCACAATACGGGCACTGGTTGCGTCAGCGGACTACGCCTGGGAATGTAACATTTCACGAGATTGTCTAGTTATTGTTGCTGGTACGTCTCGCGAAGATGCTGGTCGACTAGCTGTTCGCCGCGCTGAGTACTCGCGAACTGATCTCATGAAGATGATGTGCTGTGTGAGACAAGGGCGTAACAATGCGAGGCGAGTTGTGGTCATTATAACGGAGGCGGCGCTACTTGAACATTACAAACAGCACTGTCTAGAACCGCTGCCAGTGGAATCGCAGTTGACAGCAACTCTCTCAGATCATCTCAATGCCGAAATTGCCGCTAAAGAGATTGAAACGCGGCAAGAGGCGCTGGACTATTTGACATGGACTTTCTTTTACCGTAGACTGCCAAAGAATCCCAACTACTACGGACTCCAAGGACTATCTCATATAGAAATATCTAATCATCTCTCTGAAATAGTTGATTCCGCTCTTTCAGAACTGGAAGATTCCAAATGCGTTGCTGCAGAGGGTGATGAAGACGTAGCTTTGGGAGCACTTAATCTCGGTATTATTGCCGCCCATTTTTACATCAGGCATGCAACCGTCGAGCTGTTCGCTTCTTCCATAACGCCGAATACTAAGCTTGGGGGTTTACTCAACATTCTGTCATTGGCATCTGAACTTGGAGATATTCCCGTCAGGATTGGGGAGGAAGATGTCTTGAAGAGAATAAGTCAAGACCTTCCTTTGTCGATGAATGATGGAGACTCGCTGTCATTTTCTAGTCCACACATCAAGGTCCACATCCTGCTACAGGCACATATGAACCGACGAAGCCTTCCTGCTCAGCTACGGAATGACCAAGCACAGTTGTTACCTACTGCAGTGCGCTTACTGCGATCAATGGTGGATGTTATTTCATCTGCAGGTTGGCTTAAACCGGCAATCATTGCTGTCGAATTAAGCCAGATGTTGATTCAAGGCGTATGGGTATCGGACCCGAATGTTATGCAGCTTCCACACATTGACAAAGAAATCGCTACGTCACTCAAACGCGACCATGACATTTCAGAAATCTCCGAGTTACTCGATGCGTTCTTGGATATGGAACCTAATGGGCGAATTGGCGCCCTTCAACGTCTTTCACGTAAGGAAATTTCGGAAATTTCGTCGGCATGTCAAAACTTCCCCGACTTGCAAAATCCCAAAATTGTGTCTATACACGAATCTGAAGACAACGACGGAGAAGGCTTGACCAGGGTGGTGGTGCAGATCGAAAGAAATCAAGAAGATGCCGAAGAGGTAGCCGACCAAAAACGAAAGACTGTTCCTTTAGTTACAGCCCCGTTGTATCCAACAATCAAAGAAGAGGGGTGGTGGGTAATTGTTGGAGACTGGGAAAACAATTCTCTGTTAACGTTGAAATACGTTTCACTGAAGGTTGCTGCAACCGTGAAACTTGATTTCGTACCTCCAACTGAACACGCGGATGCATTGGCTGATGCACAGGGGAAGAAAAAACTTAATCTGTACATTTTGTCTGATTCGTATGTGCTCGAATGTGATATAGAGGACACATTTCAAATTAATGTGAAGAGGAGAACTCTCGGCAGTGACTCGGGTGAAGAAAATGAAAATGTTGCCCAGGGCACGACATTGGATATCGCAGCTGTGGAGCAGACAGCTTGAATCACACTTCCAGGCTGTGCCGCGCTACACGAAGGTACAGCAGACTCGAAATGCGACGGAGCTGAGCAATGTTGCGATGTCTACGGAATTCCGTGTTGCTTGTTAATGCAAAAGCGATTTTTTGAGAAAGCCATTCGTCCAGGCAAGTCAAAGAGCAGTACACTGCCCACGCATGTGACAGAGCAACAGATGTCATCATGTGGGCCCTCCCAGCAGTGTCATGCTTCGGCGAAGGAGAAAGAATAGAACATCCACAGCACTTTCAAAAAGCCATTGCTCGAGATAGATGTTGAGATATCAGTTTGGTAAAGGACGCAGCGAATGATGTGAGGTGTACAAATCACGCCACTGCGTGCGTTGAAGAAAGATGCCAACCTCATACTAGATTCCTTCACAATTTCTTTTTGTAGGAATACTGTGTCTCCGAAACATTCCTTGACTAAGACACGCTTGTCCGTGGGGTTGCTGCCTGGGCTGAATCAGGAGGGATATAAAACAGCACCTTGTCGTCCGGGCTGCACTGTTTCTCGAATTGAGTAAAGTCTGGAAGGATTTTCAGAGGCTGGATGTCAGCCCCTTGCAAGGTTGCAAATGCTCCTTTGTTGGATCTCGGACGATCCGGAGCTGCACACGCAATTCAATTGAGACGCAAATTCAATGAAAAGTGCCAAAGAGTGTTAGAGTAAAGGAGAATCAGGAGAGCATAAAGACGTTGGTTGCATGGGATGGCACTTACGGTAATCAGCAGCTGAAAAGACGGTCGCGACAAAACTGGAAATAAGTTCGATGTCCACAGAGTATCCTCCAAGCATATCATCCATACCCTCCCTCTTCTCTCTCATGTCAGGGCCCTCATGGGCTCGAATGAGACCGTGAAGGTTATTTCTCCGAAAGAAGGACTCGGCTGCTCCATTGCCGAAAAGGATTCCGGCACCACGCAAGACGTTGAGAGCCACATCCGAGGCGTCAATCTGCGGGTCACTCCACAAGACGTCTTCCAGGATGCAGTGTTGTGGGTCACTTAACTGGCGACGCGTCTCGGCTAAGTCGTTGAGATTGCCAAGAGCCATGGAGCCCTTTTTCGGAGATTTCCAGCTTCGGAAAAGACCGCCATGCAGGACCAATATGCGGCGTTCGCCAGGGACAAGAGGTGCTCTCCAGCCATCTAATTCCGTGCGATCATCGCGTCTGTCTCGTGCCCCTTGCTTCCACTTTCCTCGTCTGCCCTTTTCTTTGGTGGTAGGCGGTTGAGAAGTATGTTGTGATGCCGAGGCAGGTTTCGGGAATACTCTAGGAAGGGTTGTAATGACGGCGGCACATGGGATCTCGTTGAAGGTTTTGAAGAAAGTCAATAGGACTCTTTCATCATACTTTCTCAAGACCTCATTCCGAAATCCATACCTGGCTATAAATTGGAAAACAAGGTGGCAATGGTGACATGTTAGTAGCTTAGAGATCGGAAAGGAAGTAAAGTGTGTTTACGGGACAAGACGAATGGAAGGTACCTGTGCAACCAGTAGACTCATGGTTGCCTCGCAGCAACACAACGCAGCGTGGTTTGCAAAGCTTGAGGGCCAAGATGACGACGAAAACCTCAACGCCCCACGACCCGCGATCGACGCAATCGCCCGCGAAGCAAAGGATGTTGTCGTCTGCGGGCCAGCCGGTCATGGAAAGTGCCTCTACCAATGAATGAAGGTCGCCGTGGGTGTCACCAAGAACATGGACTCTGCCGGCGGGCGGGGTGGTGATATCTACGATGTTTTCGTCGCGTGCGAAGGCCTCTTTGGAATAAACAAGCAGCTTGGTGAGAGTGTTTTTGTTGAGTGCGAATAACGAGAGCAAGTCGGGCGAGCGGTAGGACGCAGAGAGCAAGCGGGCGATTAGAGCTTTGACGAACGTCATGTCGAGTTTGTCGATGCCTGGCCAGCGGAGCGGGCGGCATTGCTCCAGGGCCTCTCCTTCTGGGCCGGCGTCTTCGTCGCAGGTGAGGAATCCTGGATAGTGAGCCATGGTGGGTGGGGTGGGTGGGGTGGGTAGGGTGAAGGAGGCTGGCGGTGGACGGGAAGGTGAGGATTTGAAGATAACGGAGTCGCAGAAAGAGTCGTAGGAGCGTTGTACGGTATGGCTCTATATTTAGAAATGGTGGAGGGGCCGGTGCAGAGGCGGCTCTACTGTACAGTAACATTCTAACATTACGCGGTCCACTGCGCGATTGAAGACGAGGTGTCGCAAATGATGCAGTCGGACGGACGCACCATCATCTGATGACAGGGCATGTCAGGTCATCGCGTTTCTGACACCATAAAGCTGTCAACAGCTTGACAGCTTTATGGTGTCAGATAAGCGTGTTGACATCAACAGCTTCCGCCGAAGCGCCGTGTGATCCTTCTTACTGTACCAGATCCCGTTCAACCCAATTTGCAAATCGGGATCCCAACTCCCCGTCCCAGCAAGGACGGTCACCGTCTGCGTGCCGCACCCGGTTTCCCTTCAAAGGACGGTTTCCCTTCAACCCCCCCACCCACCTCCCGCCTCACCTCAACCAACCCCCCACCCCACGATGCCGCGTCTCGAGCTCCAAGCGTCGCTGTACGGGCACAAAGGCGCCGTCTGGTCGGTCGCGTGGTCTCCGCGGGGGCTGCTAGCCTCCTGCGGCGCGGACAAGACCGTGCGCGTGTGGCACCGCGCCGAGGGCGGCGCGTGGCGTAGTGTCGCCGTCTTCGGCGACGCCACCTTCGTCCGCGCAGTCAGAGACCTGTCGTGGGCCTCCGACGGCCGCTCGCTGGCGTGCGCCAGCTTCGACGCTTCGGCCTTCGTGCTCGAGCTCATGGGCGGGAAGACCCCGCACTTGGAGGCCGCCGTGTCGCTCGAGGGGCATGACAGCGAGGTCAAGAGCGTCGCGTACAGCTCCTCCGGCGCCTTGCTGGCCTCTTGTTCGAGGGATAAGAGCGTGTGGGTTTGGGAGGTCGGCCTGGACTTTGACTATGAGTGCATCGCCGTGCTGAATGGACACGCCGCAGATGTCAAAATGGTCGCGTGGCATCCGACTGTGGAGATGCTCGTGTCGACTAGCTTTGACGGCACCGTGCGTGTGTGGGTCGAGGACGAGGACGATTGGTTTTGCGCAGAGACCCTCGCGGGGCACAATGGTACCGTCTGGGCGGCCGCGTTTGGTGAGGGCGGAACAGGTTTGGCCACAGTTGCGGCGGATGGCGGGCTCGCCATATGGAGCAGGGAGAATCCCCCAGCTAATCTTGCCGGAGCGAATCCTGCTTTTCAGGTCGTCGCTCGCTACCCCAAGCTGCATGCAGGTCCGATATACTCGGTTGATTGGAATAAGAGTAACTCTTTACTAGCGACGGGAGGTGGCGATGATTGCATTCGCATCATTCAATGTACAGAGATTTCCTCACCAAATGCACCTTCGGAAACTTCCAAAACGAAGGAGGAGTCAACGGCTAACGGCAGCGTTCCAGAACAATCTGCGATCACATCGAATCTGAAAAAGCGGTGCGAGGTCATGGCAACAGAAATGCGAGCCCATTCCGGTGACGTGAATCGCGTTGCGTGGAATCCAATTGATCAGGACATTTTAGCCTCTTCCGGTGATGATGGACTCGTGAAGATTTGGAAATATTGCTCCGATGTTGACAAGAAGGCCAACGGAACATAGAACTATCTCTGATCTGCAATTCTTGATAGATGAGCTGCTATACCGCCTCTCCCGAACGTTCCGTTGACATATCAAGACTGCAACGACAAGAGCCCGCTAGCTAAGATCCTTGTTTTGTCTCGGAGGCCGGCAGCTCAAGATTGTACATGGACATTTTCTCAACTTGCCAAGCATTTTCACTGGCGAGGTTGTCCTCGTCTACATCTGGTTGAGCCGTCGGATCCCAAAATGCAGGACGCCGGAGGTCCACTATCCAAAAATCGCCGTCCGCGAATGAACGGGGGTCCAACGTTTGATCCACAGCGTCGAATATCTTGGAAGGACTCGGTACTCGTTGCATTTTTGGCGGAACAACTGCTAAGATGTAGTCGAGATTGGGAATAGTGTGACGTTTAAGGGTGATCAGGGACCGAACTGTGCGAAGAAAGGCCAAAGATTTTGAAGATGAGCCTTCGTTTGGGAGTTGACTGCTGCAAAGGACAATGGCAGATTTGTTACGCGGTTTTCTGTAGCGACGTGGGGGGGACATTTTGGAATACAGCGTGTTCCTCCATGAGGGAGGGAGCTGCCAGACAGGCTTATCCGTCAGACCATCTGCGTAGCGTCGATGGACGACAAGGAGATCACTGGCAATCTCCACGGGACCCGTGATCGCGTTTAGTGAAGTGGGAGTCAAGCTCAGCGTGTTGTTCGCTTCCCAGATGGCCCCAGCTTCATGGAGACCGGGAACGTAAGCAACGCGGGGACAAATGTTTTCCAGTTCAGCCAGCGTGACGGAGTCGTTGCCCAACTCGGCAAGGTCGATATGTCGGACGTCGGTGCGCTTGTGTTCTCGCGAAACGCCGATTACCAGAACAAGATCGATGGAAAACGCGAAGCCGTTCTCCGCCAACCATTGCGATAGGTGTGCGATTCTCTGCGAAACGGCTTGCAGATCAGACAGAACAAGAATGCGTAGTGGGGAGGCCGGTCGAGAGGGGTCTTCCTCATGTACGGAGATAAAGGGTGAGGATGTTCGTATTTCATCCGTCATGACTCGCTGACACCGGAATATCTATCTTTTTGCGTTGGCCCGACACTGCTATGACATGCGGCATTTGTACTTGATGTGACTTCGCAGGAGAACAGTTGTGCTTTTTGGCCAGAAGTCGTTGCAGAGATGCGGGAAATAGTGCAAGGTAAGCAGAGTAAAAACACTACCGCGATGCTGCATGAATCGGTCACGTTTCTCGCCTCAACGCGAGTAGCAACTTTGGAAGTAGACGTTGGTGCCACAGCAAATGGTCTTTAGAGTTCCTGTTTCCTTCTCAGTGAGTGTGAAGTGGTAAGAGTTTTGACCGAGACTCTCAATCGCTCTGTCGGAGAGCGACTGTTCCAGACAAAAGCTGGTTATGAAGATTGGATCACATTTAAAGTGGATCCAGTAATTTTGGATTTGATTTGAACTAGCCACTTCATGCTCCAAAGGCCCTTTTTTTGGAGGGAAGCTCCAACTGGTTGCAACTGGTTGATTTGTTGCAATTCCACGACACATCTGTCCAGCTATCGATCTTCTCTCGGATTGCAATCCTCCCTTGCCCAGGCAGTCTCAACCGCACGACTTGTTCTGCGACCTGCATATCCCCTTAAGCGTGAAGGCAGAGAGTGCTCCGGAAGGCAGACTTTCGCGGGAGTTCAAAATGGACGATGTTGGTGACGTCACGGCTGCTATGCAATCCATCGCCATTGGCGGCAAAAGCTACGACAAACTAGCTGATGGAGAGTACGACGCCGTCGTCTTGGGTACCGGCCTCACCGAGTGCATGCTTTCCGGAATTCTCAGCGTCGCCGGCCTTCGCGTCCTCCACTGCGATCGCAATGACTATTACGGTGCCTCATGCGCCAGTCTCAACATCCAACAAATGTTCGAAAAGTACAAAGCCGGGGAGACACCAAACGAACAATTCCTTGGCAAGAACCGCGACTACAACATTGACTTGATTCCCAAATTCATCATGGCAGGTGGCACCATGGTTGATATGCTCGTCCACACGGGTGTCACCCGTTATCTGGAATTTAAACTTGTCGATGGCTCGTTCGTCTTCAGCGGCGATCGTCCACATAAAGTTCCAGCCACACCAAAAGAAGCTATGACGTCGAGTCTCATGGGTCTCTTCGAAAAGAACCGATGCCGCCAGTTTTTCTCGTACGTCAATCATTACGACCCCAACGAACCTTCTACTCACGATAAGCTCGATTTGAAAGCGATGACCATGGCCGAATTGTACAAGTACTATGGTCTCCAGCCAGACACAATCAGCTTTGTTGGTCATGCTCTTGCCCTGTATCGCGATGAGTCATACACGACCAGACCGGCAGAGCCTACGGTTTTGCGAATTCAGTTGTACGCCGCCTCACTTGCCCGCCACGGTCGGTCCCCATATCTGTACCCTTTGTACGGCCTAGGCGAACTTCCGCAAGCGTTTGCTCGGCTTGCGGCCGTGCACGGCGGCACATACATGCTTCACACTCCTGTCGACGAGATTCTTCACAATGAAGCCGGCCACGCCGTCGGCATCCGGTCAGGTGATAAGGTTGCCAAATGCCGATTCGTCGCTGGGGATCCGAGTTATTTTACTGGGAAGACGATGCATACAGGACGAGTGGTACGCAAGTATTGCATTTTGAATAGCCCACCGCCGAACACTCGGGAATCGACTTCATGCCAAATTATCATCCCGGCAGCGCAAGTCACGCCTCCGCGAAAGAGTGACATTTATGTGTTGGTCTTATCGAACAACCACAAGACCACGCCAGATGGCAAGTATCTCGCGTTGGTTTCAACGACCGTGGAATCGGAAACCCCAGAACAAGAACTAAAACCTGGAACCGATCTGTTAGGGCATATTGTCGAATCCTTCGTGGCTGTTGACGAGCTTTACGAGCCGAAGACTGGCGGCAAAGAGGATTCATGTTTCATTACCAGGAGTTACGACGCGACAACACACTTCGAGTCAACGGTAGAAGACGTGTTCGATGTGTACAAACGCATATTTGGAAGTGACTTGGTATTGGGCAAAGGCCCAGACGCAGCAGGTAGCAGCTCTTAGAAGCGATATCCTATCGGTAGATGTATTGAACAGAATAAAAGCAATAAAACAGAACAGAAATGAAAGTCTATCCGTCTGGCCTCGTGCGACATATGGTGAGCGCAAAGTACCGTGGAGCTGCGATCAGTCAGGGTAAGGATGCTCCATTCCTTCGAGGGTGATTGTGAACGGGATGCGGGTCCGTTTGGCAAGTGGACTTTTGATAATCTCAACAACGCCCTGACCTCTCTCATCTCGCGTCACACAAAGCCTAGTCGCACAAACGTGCTGCCAAGCCTCACCCATAGCTGCCACCACAGGTCCCCCTTCTGGTGACTTCTTCCCGTGATTCACCAGAACAACGCTAGCCTCGACCTGGGCAGCTGCCTCATGCATACGCATAGCAAACGCCTCGAGCCGCTTACTCACAGCAGCGCCCTCAGCCAAGCGAAACATAAACGTGAGCGAATCTATGACGACTAGTTGCACGCCACCTTCTCGCATCAAGCCAGGCAAAGTATGCGCCAGTCCGCTCACAAGCGCTTCCCACGACGTGCACCGCGCGACTTGCAGCCTGGCGCTTGCGTTCCCTTTCTCGCATTCGAAGCGACTCAACAGCTCAAGAAAGCGCTTTGCATGGAAGCTCCCGTCGCAATCTATGTGCAAAGCCTTCCCGCCTGACGCTACGACGCTCGCCAATAGTGAGAGAGAGAGCGTTGTCTTGCCGCTCCCCGGTGGACCGTAGATCTCCGCCAGGCCACCCCGGGGGAGGCCACCGTGCAAGGCGATGTCTAGAGCGTCATAACCTGTTCGGAGGGGGCGTAGTGGGGCCGTGGCCGAAGTTAGCGGATGAAGAGAGGCGATGTGGAGAGGCAAAGTTGAAAGCGCGGTCTTTCGCCGTTTTGGTTCAGGGCGAGTGTGCGGGTCAGAGTCCATTTTGAGAATGCTATGGGTTTACGGTGAGCGGCATGTTTCGTGCAGCTGAGGGGGGTACAAATATTTCCCGACGATGCGTGCGATAAAAAAGAACTGCATGAGGGCGATGATCGGACCTTTGGGACATGCTGAGTCAACTCCTGGAGCCTTGCTTTAGACTTTCTCGCGGCGAAGTTGTCGTAAGACCTCGAATGCCTAAGAGAGCCTACCGTGACACGTCAGTAATGCTCCGTGTCTAGCTAGCCGTGACGCAATCCCAGCTACAGCACAGTAGCCTTGGTAGCCCATGAATGGCCAAAGTGATCAAGAGTGACAATAATTTCCAACGGAGATCCTTGGTTGTTTGTCCAGGTGTGGTATGAATGTTAGTCTCGAGCGGAAGCTGAGGCTCGGTTTCCCTGAACGTGCGCAGCGGAGGGAGCAGAACGGAGGTGATCGAGCGAGGCGAAGCGAAAGGCCACAAAAGCCACCGGGGGTCTTGTCTCGTGAGTGCGTGAGTATCCCCCGGATTTCTAGTCCCTTTAATTTCCCCTTGATTTAAGTACCCGGTAAAATTCCCCTTTGTAATTTTGGGACCGGCGGCGCACCGCCGCGGACACTGCCAGTCGCTTAGGGCTAGCGCTGTCCTCGCTGTACAGTGCCCACGACACACCCCCCGTCGGGCCACGTTGGACGGCGGCCAGCGGCGGCCGACTACATGCGCACGCCGACGGCGGAGTATATCCGTTGGGAACGTGGTCCGACTCTCTGGCAGACCCCAGTCAGCGGGCTCCCCTTATGCACCGCGTGCTCCTCCACGGAGTTATCCCTTTCTTCCCTTTTCCTTCGGGCGCCTGCCTTACACCGCATTCCCTACCTGCGATCGGTTCCCCATTTCGCGCGTCCGCGCACTCGCTTCTTAAATCGCGCTGCATTTCCGGCTCCTCTCCTTGGGCCCGTCGCGCATCTCGCGATCCGTTTGAGCTCCGTGGTCACAATCTGCCTCGCCGCGCCGCCACACCACCGCGCCACCGCACCACCGCGCCAAGCATCACATTATCAATCTCCCCTACTGGGGCCTCATCCATTGCAGCTGCCGCGCGCTCCGCCCTTCGTGTCGGCGTCGAGCGCTTCGTCTCGTCATCCTCCGTTTCGTCTCTTCATCCTCCGCCTCGCGCCTGCCCTGACCGAAACCGATAAAAGCGCCCGCGGGCCACGGTACGGAGGGGTGAGCGTGAGGCTACACGATGCCTGACGTGCGGTGGGTCTCGATGGAAGCTAAACGCGCACCGCTTTCCGGAATGGAGATGCTGGATGGCGAGTGCCGCGTTCAGATACACAGTGGCTCCCGGGTGGTGTCAGTGACAAAGGAGGCACTGATGAGGAGTGTGCGATTGCCCCGCGAAGTTTGTGGCGAGCTCTGGGATTGGCTGTCGTTGCGCCGTGGTCGCTTTTTCACCGAAAGAATGCTCGAGGAACTCGGGTTCTTGAGCCTTTGGGGTTCTCGGCTGATGGACCCCGGGGCTGACCAAACGGACTACACTATCCGGCGTATTGTGTTTTCGTCCGGGAAGGACATACGGTTTGGCAAGCGGGGGTTCCTTGCCTCAGCAGACGACCGCGGGGGACATCGCTCCTTCTGGCCCATCGACTTCTACACCATGAAGTCGCACAGGGCCGTGAGTAGCTTGGAGCAGATGATGGAGTTGAGCAGTGAGGTCGAGTCTGACTTGGAGGTGAAGGAAAACGGGAGCGGCTTGCAAGTGGAGATAGTTTTTGATGCTCACGCCGAGGCGCGATATTTGGACAATCTGCAACGAGCTTGCACTCCCCGGATGGACCACTTCTTCAGACTTCGATGCCCCGGTGCTCGCGGGGATTCGGCTGCAACGCTCCACCGCCGTACGAACGTTCCCAGCTTCGTGTTCTCTCCACGTGACCAGTGTCTCCGAGCCGCGATCGGGAATGGACTATACGCGCTGGCTGGAGAAGTGGCTGCACTAGCCATGATGAATATCCATCCGATGCCAGCCGTGAGCGTCGCCCAAGCTGGAGCGTGGCTCGAACAGCGGTTGGGCTCTTACCGCCTGGAAAAGGTTTCGATTCCGAAGCGTGTTGACGAAGAAGAGTGGTTGGCTTCCCAACGTGGTGGGATCTTCTTGTCCAGGTTAGGGGGAATGGACAGTTCAGGAGAAGAAATCGACCATGTCGTCGTTCTGGATGCCAAAAGGCAGCTCGTGTATGATTGCACAGAGCGTTTTGCACTACAGATGGGCAAGGGAACCTTGAGCGCTTGTCTTGGTGATGGGGTCGACCTACTCGGCATTCCGGAGCTTCGTCGCCTCACCAAACAGCCAGTTGGGAAGCGCAAGCGTCATGGTGGTGGTAGGAAAATATCCACCGAAGTTCAACGTAAGCGAAAGGATGTTTCGCGAAAGAAGAAGCCCTTTACCACTGGTTCCTCTCAGACAAGGAGGAGGATGGTAATCGATGAGCCGTAGATGCTAATTAAACTGGATCCGCTTGGCCTTATCGAACATGCAAGGGTCCAGCACTCCATTCAGCATGACCTTGTTCAGCTTTCGGAACATTTCCAAGTTTCTCTTCGTCAAGGCGTCGGCAAGGTTCAGTTTGCCGGCAATCCACTGCATCGTAGCGATCTCTCCGTTTTCGAAGGAGTCTCGCATTCGTGCTACTGTGGGTCGGAGACGGTAATCTGTCCCTTCGTGGAGCGTCGTCACTGTTGAGTACAAGCCGTGCGAGTCAACCGTGAGGATAAACGGAAGCGGGACGTCCGATCCGTACACTCGTTTGAGGCTCTCGGCCATTAGCGATCCACGGTCTGTTGACGTTGCTGCGGCAAGTATTTCAGCTCCAATTGACGAAAACGCCACTCGGGATTGCTTGCAGCTATGCCAATCAAGGACATGGTACACACCGGCACCCCCCGCAGGCAGGTATATCCCGGAGAGGTATCCGGTCTGCCCATATGAAGTGGAACCATGGCTAGCATCGGAGAAGCACAAATACGAAGGGTCCTTGTCTAGCATCGGGGGAGCACAGTACTTCAGCTGTGGAGTCAAGCCCCGCAGTTCGTTCAGAACCTTACTGCCGTTAACCAAGTCAGAGACTCTTAGGTTGCCTACAGCTTGCTGGAGGTAGCTTGCTGCAAAAGAAGCCTGCGGGAGGACACCATGACCAAGGAAGTTGAGTGATCCTGCCAAGCCAAGGTACGACGTGAGTTCTTCCGTGGTGGCTCTTTCGTGGAACTGCTTTTTCCGTTCCCGAGACAGCGCCGGAAACTCGATTTTCTCCATGTACTCTTTCATATCGATGTGCACTGTACCATCAGGGCCTTGCGAAATGTGGAGGCGATTGAAGATTAGCGGGCGGTCAACGACGAACCGGCCAACTTCAAATCGTTTTGCAAGGGCAGCATGGAAGTCGTTGACTTCTCTTGGTGAACCGACTACCAGGAAATCATCCACGACCTTGCAAATAGCAAGAGAAATATTACCTCCATCGCCGAACTTCATGAAGAGTTGTGGCATACCAGGGATGGGTACAATGTCTTGCCGAGACATCCAGCCTTCTATGGTCAGCTGCCAGAGTCTTCCAGACTCGACGATTCCATAGGCGGGCTTGAGAAGTCGCCACAGAATCCCTCGGGCCGCCCAACCTTTTGGTGGTCGAACATAGATGTCTCGAGAAAGGTAACCTCCCTGCAGGTACGCACCCTTAATGTCGATTGTGGCTATGACCATGTTCAAGACGGCGGCGATGGACAACACCAGTCGGATCACTGGGAATTGTGCAGTTGCAGAATCCTTCCGGAGACTCTCCTTATCTTTGTCGCGGTTGCCGTGAGGCACCATTCGACACTTTAGCCGGAGTTTGTCCTCTTCCCCATCGGTCTTCACTTGGAAGAAATGATGCGATGATATAATGTTGGCACCTCTAGGGATGGAACTCAACCTGACTTCTTCAAAGGCACCGTCGTAGTTATTCTTCTCTGCAGCTATGGCTTTGTCAAGCAGCCATCGGGGCACGAACTGCAGTTGAAATTCCGAAGCGGTTTTATCTCCGATGATCCCTTTTACTTGTCGCAGGACGTCCTGCTCCATGGACTGGAGTTCAAACGGCAGCTCCGGGGGAGGGGTGACTCTCACCTCACCAATGTCTTTCTCGGGACGAGGTGGGTCAAACGGTTTGTTGAGAGTGCCCTGTTGCCTTGCCGGATCTGAAAGAGTGACTTCTTCCTGCAGGGGTCTCTCAAGGTTGCGTGAGCTTGGAGACTTCTTAGTATTCGCAAAGAATGCAGGCAGTTCTTCGAATTACCTTGCGACATCTTCATCAGCATGTACTCTTGAGTCCTCTCCGTCTTTTCTGATCTCAAGAATGTCATCGTGTAGAGGAGGGTGGGCGTCGTTTCCCTCTTCCCACGGAAAGCTTGCTGGGAGATCATCCTCGGTCGGCAAAACTTGACTCCGGGACTCGGCGTTGTCAGTTTGATGCTGGTTCATCGCTGTAGTACAACGGCGCGAAGGCAATCGCACCACCGCTGCCGCCCCGGGATACAGTATGATGGGCTGTAAGCGCGAGAAGAACTGTAAGGAGTTATATTTACAGCACACGGCCGGTGCGGAGTACAGTGGTACCCCGTTGGTTACACGTGTAGGATCCGAACGGTAAGTAATTAGTAATTAGTAGTTAATGGCACAAATTAGCCAATTTAGCACAGTAGCTGGTATACAGTAAGTAACAGCTACTGTAGCGGGACAGGTGTCCTGGCGTCCCACTTAGGGGTTAAGACCGGGGGCACCTGCCCCGTTCCAGTAAACGGAGGCAGACTCGCCTCCCTTCCCTTTACGGCTTTTTGCTAACTCCGTCCGGTTTTACCTCTAAGTCTCAGGCTTCTAACCCGTGACCGGCCGTCCGGATCTGACACCACCGACCGGCTGCGCGTCACCGGCCACGTGAGCCTTCCCTCTTTTCGAGTCCTTCCGTACGGTTCGCGCTCGCGTGGGTTACCCAGCGTCGCGCGCTCCCTTACCTCTAACCCCCCCTCGTTCCGAGTGGTCGGGACGAAGGTAGTTATACCACAATCGCTACCTCAGTGTCATCCGTATCAACGACGGCGTACGACCGGGGGAAAACATAACCAATCTGGTTCAGATCCAACAGCAAGGGTGACCGTGGAGCTATGCGCACATCTTCATACGCAGCCCGAATTGGCTTTCCACGATGTTCCGGGTTATTTGAGACAATAACCATGTGCGGCTCGACTGCACGTACATACCCGGATTCCCATTTGCCAAACTTGACGTTGCGTTTGAAGTAGTAAACGAGGACGCCACGTCGAAGGTCTTCGGGAAGGACGGTGTTGGGTGACCGGCCCTTGTCAAGCATCAAGAGGGCCCGACGGGCAACTTGCTCTTCGTGAGCAGCGATTATTTGGTCGGTCACAACACTTTTTGGGAGTCCAGCGATGGAAGGAGTATAGCCCCTAGCGAGTTCAAAGCTGCTCATTCTCTTGCTACCGTACAGTATGTTGCTCACATATGTTGCACGGGAAAGAACGTCGGACTTTTCCACTTCCACGTTGCGAGTCTGCATGAAGAACTGTGCATCTTTGGTCATCCTTTGGGCTATCAACCGGACCACCGCATTCTTGCTCTCAACCACCCCAAGCTTGTTGTGTCTTCGAGCAGGACGGGGCTGGAATTTGACCCCTGCATACTGCAAAAAGCCCTTGAACACGGAGTTATTGAACTCAGGGTCAGATGATACAACAGCTGGAGGACCGTGTACATCACACCACTTGTTATCGAACACACGGGATGCCTCGTCCATCTCTCGTGTAGTCATGAGTGAGGTAACGGAAAGCCCGGTGTGTACGTCGACGATGTGGAGTATGGGCTGATTACTCAGCTCTGTGATGTACATGTAGTCTAGCTGAACGTGGTCGTTGAAAGATGAGAGGAGCTTTCCGAAAGAGACTTTTCTCGAGTTGGAAGGTCTTCCGGTGCTCTTGCAAGACGTACATTTCGATGCAACAGTGGTGAGGGCTTGCCTAAGAACTGAGGAGAGGATAGATCCTCGTTTGCATAACTCGAGCATATCGTCAAGGGGCAAGTGGGAAGAGCCATGAAGCTTGAGCGCAAACCTCTTCGCCACCTTTCCGTCCATAAACTTGGTTCTTCCGAAACGATGCCCCATTTGCTTCGACATGAGGGAGCGCAAAGATGCGAAGTACGTTTCGAAAGACGAAGTCTTTGAACGTATCACGAACAAGTACGTTCTCTTGGCGTCTTTATCTTCCGGGGAGATTTGTTCACTATATGTCTGAAGCACGACCTCTTTCTGTGAGAGGCCGCACACTCCAGGTGGTATGACAAGGGCGTTCTCTGGTCCGAGCAATCTTGACTTGTGGAGCACTTCGTTGCCGAGAAGGAGGAAGCCAATTCCCTTTGTGACGTAGAACGGAATTGTTATGTTTGTCCCGTACATGTCCGTAACAGGCATATCCCATATGGCAACCACAAGCTCGGCTTCGCTACACTCCATTCCATATCCGTGATAGAATGGTTTGCAATCGAGCGGACGAATGGATAGCTTGATTCCCATTTTCACGCAGAGTGTAGCCGCGGATTGGATGCCGCCGACACTCCTCGGACAGCCAACGTCTAAAATTGGATTGGGGTCCTCACGTGAGGAGAAGACGTCGGACTTGGCTCCCCGCCTGGAAACGAGACTTAGTTGTCTCTGCGTCCCAGACGGGAGCCTGGACGAAAAAAAGCAGGAGATTTGTACTCGTTCCCAGTGTTCCGGAAACGGTCGTTCCCAGTGGTTCTTCGTCTTTTCGCGTGATGGTCGGACGCTGAGCAGCACAGATCACCACGGAGGTGTCCCTGCTCACCACACTCCGCACAGGTGGTCCAGTAGGGGCGGGTTCCTACTTCTTCGTGAGGGCGCTTGCGTCTTCCTCTGGGCGGGTTCCGACTACGTCCACGAGCTCCATTGCGTACGACGTCATTATAGGCGAAGTTGTCGGATCCAGCTCCAGCAGCCTTATGCCCTACGGCGAGAAGTGCTTGTCGAACGTTGCGCTGCACGAGGCTTTCAACGTCCTTCATGCTCATCGGGGGACCTTGTGTTGACGTGAGGGTCAAGTTTCCAAGGACAGAAACGGCGTCATCTAAGTGAAGCTTGCAAGGCTTCGCCTTGGACAAGATGATACCCGCTACGGAATTATTAGGCGTTTCATCTTCCTGCGGATTGGTGTACAGTTTCTGAAATGCGTCCTGGATTTTCTTTCCTGTCCCTCGTGCTTGAGAGCGGTACTTACGGAGGGCATTCCGTAGACCATTTTCATCGTCTGTACGGAAGTACAACGGACCTTGGAGCTCTCCTGCGCTCTCAATAACAGACTTGAATTCGTCGAGATCTTTGGTGGAGAACGACTTCGTTGTTGGCGGATTCACTTCGACAGCCCGAGCTTCAGCCAACGAAATTAACTGCAGCTTGGCATTAGTCAGAGTGCCCTCTTCGAGGTTGGCATTGTTCAACAAAGTGATTGCCAGGACTTCACCAATCTGGGAAGACGTCGAGGCGTTGGAATGCATAAGATGCTCCGCAGCCAGTCCTCGGAACCGTGACACGAAAACAGAGAGATCTTCGTTCTTCTTCCGGCGGCAGGTTGATACCTTGTGAAACGAGTTTATCAGCCTTGATACCATAGCAATCGTGGGGTCAATGGCGATGAGATTCACAATGTCTCGAACGGCTGCGACTTGATCGTTTTGTTTAAAATCGATCGTTCTTGCTGCCTGTGCTTCGTCAACAATTGACTGTTGAGCACTGGGCAAGCCACGCTCATAGAGCTGGCGCCCAAGGGTGGCGTACACCGTGCCGTACACGCGATCCGTGCCACGCTCAGCGGCAGACTTTATAAGGTCTACCCAGCGAGCGATTTTCCGCCGCCAATCCTGAAGATCTCCATTCGGATAGAAGAAGGGAGGGTCTAAACGGCTCTCGCGATCGCGGGCCGAACCACTCCCTGGGCCCATAACTGTGGTAGGAATGTTAGTCTCGAGCGGAAGCTGAGGCTCGGTTTCCCTGAACGTGCGCAGCGGAGGGAGCAGAACGGAGGTGATCGAGCGAGGCGAAGCGAAAGGCCACAAAAGCCACCGGGGGTCTTGTCTCGTGAGTGCGTGAGTATCCCCCGGATTTCTAGTCCCTTTAATTTCCCTTTGATTTAAGTACCCGGTAAAATTCCCCTTTGTAATTTTGGGACCGGCGGCGCACCGCCGCGGACACTGCCAGTCGCTTAGGGCTAGCGCTGTCCTCGCTGTACAGTGCCCACGACACCAGGTTGCTCTCTACTCTCATTTTCATCAATGATGTGGGTGGATGTGGCAGAATTCATCCAGCAAACTGAACACGACCCTTAGATGTGCACAGCGGCAACGTAATCGAGGGGTCGTTTGACATAAGTTGTATCGGAGACACGACGTCTAAAGGTAGCTCGTTGGTTCAATTTGGACCACAATCTCATCCTTGCGACTTCTCATATAGGACAATCGCAATCCATTGGAGTTGCAGTTTGGTTTGAGTTGTGGACGAAGTAAACATTTTTATGCGTCATGGGCAGTAGAATGTGTCACAAAATACGCTAGAGTTGGTTCAGGAAAGAACCATTCCATCGTTAGGACTTGTTTCATGACGCTTCTCTTTGTAATAAGTTTTCAATGAGACTGTGAATCTATGATTCCGCGATAGGTACAGCTTGACATCGAAACAACAGCGTGGGCTGCAACTCAGGTCAGATGAATCAAAAGCAGTAGGACTACGTTGCACGTGTTGGCTGACTTACGATAGTTACCAAGACCGTCCGTAGGAGAACTCTATCTCCTTTTCGTTCATCGAGTGTGCGTGAAATGATAACCCTCTTGGGAAATCGGTGAGAAGCTGGTGTTCCGCACTCAAATATGTTTGGAGATTCCGCGCTTCACTGATGTTCAATTTTGAGTTCAGTTACGGAGCCGCAATAGCAATATACAGTACATATGAGAGAAAATGCATCGAAACAAATACCAAAAAGTGATGACACAGTGGGAGAAGAAGCAACTAAGAGGGCGATGGAAATGGTTCTTTGATTCTTGCGCAGCCCTGAACAGGTTGCAAAGCAAAAAAAGCGCCTAAATAGGTTCATTTATTTTGTGGATTTATGAGCTTTGAAATTGGGGATCAAAGGGTTCATTCTGAAAGCCAGAAAAACAGTCCATACAGTAGGTTCCGTGCTTGGGACTCTGCCTCAAAACCCCATTCTCTTCGTCGCTCCGAAACGGTTTCCCGGTGGGTAGGGACACGGCGTGAAGTTCATTTGTCAATTCTGAACACGCCATCATGAAGCTGGTACGATTTCTCGTGAAGCTGCGGAGCGAAACCGTGACGGTTGAATTGAAGAATGGCACCGTCGCGCACGGCACAGTTGTGGGTGTGGATCATAGCATGAACATTCATCTCAAGGGTGTCAAGCTCGAACTACGCGGTCGCAACCCCACCAAGTTACAAGCTCTCTCAATCCGTGGCTCGACTGTGCGGTATGTATTGCTTCCCGATTCCCTAGCCCTTGATTCGCTACTAGTCGACGATGGACTGCGACCACGACGAACGACAAATCCAGATCGCGCACCGGGTGTGGCTTCCGGCAGGATTGGAAGAGGGAGAGGCAGGGGGCGAGGACGAGGAGGCGGTCGTGGACGAGGAAGGCGCTAGAACTGCATCACTGTACAACACAACCATCGAGGCCGGCAGAGGTATTCTGCTTTGTATTCCTCTCTGTTTAGAATATCAAAGTCTACGATATTGGGCATAGAAAGAGGTTCAACTTTACATCGAAAAGGATCGCGGTTGTCTTTGTACATTGCGTTCGTTATTTACAGGCGCGGTGATAGTGATGGAGAGGACAGTCGTTGCGACCGCCAGTCCGCATCTTATACACATAAACGCTTTCACCTAAGTATCTGCCCTGGGTGCCAAGGGTGGAAGTGCACCGCTGGCCGGAACTGGTTGAACAGATCCTAGCAAACCAGCCCCGCCTGGCTCCCCAAGTGTCTTGAGAACCGAGTAATTGAGTTTCTTTGATGGCTTCGGAGCGACTGGTTGTGGTTCTTCGTCGTCTTTCTCCGTACCCCGCGATGTTTTTCCAGAACGAGCAGTCTTCTTCTTTTTCTGAGTGTTTCTCCATGGCCGTAAACGTTTGTACTCTTCTGGATTTTCCCGCTTCATCCTTTCCAATTTCTCTTGCTTTTCCAAATACTCCTTATTCACTTCGGTCCAAAGTTCTTTCTTCCGCTCATACTCCTCCTCAGTGTTCAAGTATTTTTCTGCATCTTCTTCGTCAAGGTCACTGAGCTCCCCGTCGTCTGCCTCTTTCTCTATCTCATCATCCTCTTCATCTTCAGAATCGCCTTCCAAGTCTGTTTCCTTTTCGGCAGCCCTTCGTTTTTGGGCGGCTAACACCAGCTCCTCCTCCACGTTCGTCTCCTGTTCCAACTCTTGGAGTTCTGAGCTTGCCAGAACTTTCGCGAACTCACCTTCCAGTTGTTCGTCCTCAGTCGTCCGGCCACCTTTCCCTGGAGTAATACGAACTTTTTTCACACTGCCACCTCCCGCAGTGGAACAGGATTCGTCTTCCGCTGTTTCGCTATCTGCGTCATTTGTCCTCTTTCGCTTTGCCAGTAAAGCTCGCCTAGCCTCTAGACGTTGAAAAGCGGGAGGATCGCACGCTTCCGACCCATCAGAAATGTTGAGGGACGTCCATTTTCCATCATCTCCACCACCAGCATCAATCTGCGCTGCCGTCAAGGTCGCTGTAGAAGTGTTGTGTAATTCCGTGAGACGATCGCGCAATGCGACGTTGCCAATACGGACGACTCGGGTAACGTCCGCTTGCGACCGATAGAAGTCGTGCATGCGCGCCGCGATGAGGAGGGCTGCACCGCAAAGCCCGCTTGGGCGACGGCCTTCGTTCATCCAATCTCGCTGCATTCTTGCTATAAGCCGAAGCGCGGACATGGCCACCGCGTTTGTCACCTCGCCGAACTCCAGTTTGTTGGCGAATCGATGAATGTACAAGCTCGGATCAATGATAGGCAACTGAATAGACAAGATCTTCCCCAGCTTCAAGAAAGTATGGCCCAAGTCGTACAAGTTTGTCTCCAGGACATCGGCAAAATCAAGCAACATGTGCGCTGTGCGCTCCATCCTGCACACGATGTAGAGACAGGCACAGCAAACGTTTGCCATACGCCTTCCTTTGTGAAAATTGCGTTCAACAGCGACACGGAAGAGACGCAAAGCGCCCTCCGTGTACTTTTGAGTATTGAGGCCGAGTGAGGAGGCGAGATGCCCAAGCCGCCGTTTTCCATTTTGCATGGTGAGTTCCGTGGCCTCGCGGGAGAAGCCTCGCAAAGCTCCGTACGAGCTGAGACGGCCGTCTGCACGTACGTGCTGTCCAATGACGTTAGAGCGGCCGCGCGCATCTTCTGAGAAACCGACCTCGCTGACGATGAGATTCTGCTCCAAGACTGTGCCGCACTCGACGCAAGTTGCCTCACCACGGGCGGTGTCTGTATCTATATCATAGCTGTCGCAGTTGGGACACTTCAACGCAGATGTCGACATACTGCAAGAGCGGTCTCTATATGCTGCCGAAGGCTAGGTCGGTCCGCAGTGGAATGAATTGTGCCCTGAACCAGTTTTGAATCGGCTAGGCAGTGGGTCGGTAAAGTACGTTGATGTGCTGTAGACAAAGCGAGCGATGTGTGGGATTGCAAAGCGCTGCTAACACTGCGATGCTCCAGTTTGTGTTCCAATCGGTGCGGTCTGCGTTGGACGGCGACCGCTGTTGAATGCGCAAGTAGTGCTGTGCTGACTGCTTGGAGTGCTGCGTCGGCTCGTCTAAACATTTCGATGGCCGGTCGCCTTGAGGTTTTTCCATTAGGAAAGCCTCTCAAAAATATTCATAAATAAAAGTAGTCAGCCACCAGTGGCGAGTGCGCATGATTTCGAGCAATGATGTGTATCCTTGTTTGTACACCCAGTTGCCGCATTTAGAGTAACGCTTTGAATAGTGTAACTACCGAATTAATGAAGAGCAAGGATGAGTGGGTACATACTGGATAAAGTCGAGTTGTCGCAAAATATGAATGGCAGTCCTTCTTTGATGAGCTTCGCCGGCTGAAAAGTCAGGAGGTTGCGACGAGAATATATCTTTTCGACGTTGTAAAACTCATATTAGTCGTTCCTCATCAACGTGGAGAGCTATGGGCTTCATACGCAAAGCAAGACTTAGACAACCGATTCCCGCCTGTGGGTGCAGTGTGCGTCTTCAGTTTCTCGGGTTAAAGACAACTCGGACTTTTGTTGGTCAACTGCGCCATCTTGAAAGATTCTTGAGATGTCGGAAGGCTTCGCAGTGGTCTCAACTTACGATCCAGCCATTATTCTTGCGGGGCTTACGGACGCACAAAAACCCGGAGTTCTCTACACATGCTCACGTCAAAGCACAACCCGACAGGCAGGTTTTTTAAAGCTCTATCTCAGTGTTGCTCCTAGTGGTGATGGATTATAGATCTCCGAAGGCCCAGACTAAGAAAATGTTTTCTCTTCTGTTGAATTCGAGAAAGGCAACATTGGAGGAAACAGTAAAAGATATCGCGCTGTATTTCATGAGACAGAAGAGAACGCTAAACGAAATAGCAAAAAATCTCAATAGATTTTGTAGATATCTGTCCACACGGTACAGTAGTAGAGGTAAAGGGGGGCTGCGTGGTTCTCATCGTCTCAGGCTTGGTCCGACTCTTCCTTGCACGTCAGGGCAAAGGTGTGGAGTTCTGGCTAAAGACTGCGGAGCGATCTGAGATTGAAGTGTCGAGGACTGTACCGCTACGCACTCCAAGTCAGATAGCACGGCCCTGTTCGACTGTTCCGACAAGAGGAGAGTGTCTTGAATTTCTGCATGCGCTCGCTTCGCGAACATTACACGCATATTGAAGGCGGAAGAAGATCATCTTTCACTTTGAATCGTGTTCTCTCCAAGCACCATACGTTATGAACTTGCACTTCTTCGGCACCCGAGTTATCCCTGTTGTGGCTATAGTGGGTGCAGTGCATCTCACTATCGTGAACACACTCTTCCCCATGAGTGACGAGCAAAGACGGAATCTTGAAGAGAGGCGTAATCAAGGGAGGCTATCGCGATTCCAAAAACCTGATCCAGTGCCAGGGAAATTTGAGGCCGAGGCGCTTCGGGAAGAAGCGCTATCAGATGGATGGCCGCAAGGATCATCTGACGAGCGCGAAAAGAGCTATGGGATACCATCAGCAGGGGAAGGAGACGGCTCGAAAGTTCATAGTTGAACAGGTGGTCTCGCAGAATATTCAATAACAACTGCTGAGTTCACGCAATCCTCTTTAGTGACTATTATCTCGCCAGTAAATGACTTGTAGAATCCAACGACCGCGGCACAAATCCATGGAACGATAAACGATGAAACGTAGTGGTTTACTCTCACCTCTTCGGCATGCATCGGCGCACTGCTAGCGAAACACAACTGACATGTGGTTGGCGAAAATGATGCTGTCTATCCTATCCACGATCTACTCGAGAGCGGCGGCACCTGAAGTGATCTCGCTGAGCTCTTGGGTGATTGCGGCCTGGCGTTGGCGATTGTAGGACAGAGTCAATGTTTGAAGCATGTCCGAGGCATTTCGTGAGGCGCTGTCCATGGCAGACATACGGGCGGCCTGCTCGGAGGTGGCGTTCTCGAGCAACGCGTTGAAAATCTGGGTGGCCAGCTGAAACTCGAACAAATCAACGAGAACCTGTGCAGAGTCCATGTCGGAATCGAATTCGTATTCGTCGAAAGCCTCGGCTGATTCCATGAGAGCCTTGAGCCCGACGATCGGCTTCTGGATGACTTCCTGAGAAATGACGGAAATGTACTCGTTGTAGACAAGGACAATTTCATCGTAATCGCGACTCAAAATGTCCTCCGCAATGAGGCAAACTTGTGGAAAGGAAACAGGAACCTTGAAGACATCCTTGAACGACAAAATGATGCTTTTTCCGTGAACGCGAGAGAGGCCGTCGCGACCTTTGTCGCCCAGGAGCATGATAGCATGGTTAACATCAGGAGCTTCGCCAATCATCGCCTTAACTTTTTTGACAATTGAAGAATTGACACCGCCGCAAAGGCCGCGATCGGACGTGACGGCAATGACAAAACGCGACTTGGACCCGCTGGCCTCATCACTAGCATCTGGCTTAGTGGCGGCCTCAACCTCGTCCATGGTTTTGAAGAAATCCTGGAGGCCAATCGCGAACGGGCGTGAGTTCTCTTGGAGAGTTTGGACGGATCGCAGCTTCGCAGCGGCAACCATTTTCATGGCCTTTGTAATCTTCCCAACGGAGCCGACTGAACGCATGCGATCGGAGATCGCCTTGAGGTTTGCCCACCGGACAGGCTCCTCAGCGGCGAGCCAGGCGGCGGAGATAGCGGTGGAGTCGAGATGCTGGTGCATGAGGACGGAAGGGGACGCGCGCATTGAGGAACGCACAGCGACGAGACTGGAGGTGGGCGAGAGAGCGGTTGGGCGCTGCCCCGCCGAACGCATGAAGCTCTTGAGCGCTGCGCGGGACGCCATGGTTGAGAGGGGCGGGGCTCAAATGCGGGGAGGAAACGATCCGAAGTTGGGAGGGCGGGGGTGGTCGGAGAGGCGGGGATTGCTGGTGATGCGGAGCGGAGGTGCGCTTGGGGCAATGAAGGCGCAATGAGAGGAGTGGATCGCATTGAATCACGCGATTGCTTGGGAGTGGCGCAAAATTACACAGAATTTAGGTTTTAGTTGCGCATCAATCGGCTGATGGTTGTCTGCAACTTGCCACCTCCCCTCGTCAGCGGCATTTCCCCCCCCCCCCCCCCCCGACCCCCTCCTCTTCATTCCCATCACCT